AATAAATAAATATTCCATGTTGTATATATACATTTTATTCATCCATTTAACCATGAGCATATATTTATGTTGCTTCCCCTTTGGCTATTTCTAATTATGCTTTAAAGAAAATGAGGACACTATTATCTCTTTGAGTCCTAACTCCAGTTATTTTGAACACAATCCGTAAATTGGTTGGCTGGCTCAYATTGTACTATCAGTAAGTAAATGAATCCACAGTTGGACAGAAATTGTCCCTGATAATTAGTGGATGAATTCCAGGCCTTTGTTTAAACTCTCAGATGCTTTAGGGATAATCTATKACTTGCTTGACTTCTCCTTGGGGAGAATCTCAATATGTGAAAAAAAATCTATTAAACGTCCTCCCAAATGCCATGTTAAGAAAACATGGGGGAATCAAGAGAGCCGTTACATTACAGGTAACAAAGACTGCAGATTTCATGTAGTGTCATAAGTGAAGAGTATCTACAGAAATGGCCACAATATCCCCTGGCTTTGCAATCTAATCACAGTAGTTATCCATCCATTGCAATGCCTCAAATGCAATGAGATCTCATTTTTTTCCTTCATATTATTTTTTTTTAATATTGAATATATTTAAATGGTTGGAGTATCTTTGAAACAGATGGTGTGAGGTTGAAAAATACTTGAAACTAAATACATACACATATATAATAACATTATATATACACATATGTATACATTGATGTGTGTATGTGTGTATGTGTATGTGTGTGTTTGTGTGTGTGTGTGTGTATGACAGAAGTTCAAAGAAGAAAGGGGAGATGAGGAGATGTGAATCACAAAATAACTTTTTTTTTTTTGTAAAAGGTAGAATTTGAATTTCTTGGTGCTGGTAATTGAATCTGAGGCCCTATTTATACTGGGTAAGTACTGTACCACTGAGTGACAATTCCAACACAAAAGGCTGAATTTGAAACTGCCAACATTTAGGCTTTAATTTTGAAGTTTTTCCAGATACTTATGTACTCACTCTAGGCTTTTTTTGCCACCCTTTCAAAAGTAATTTAAAATTTAATGATTATGTAAATTATATATAAATGTGATTCATTTCTGATCTCTTAATAAGGAAATGGGAGTTTCCACTTTATACTGAGAGATGAAAAGCCTGTCTTGAAGATTAAGGAGACAATTTTAAGTCCCCAGTTCTACACTCATGGTAAAATATTCTTTATTTTGGAGTGATATCTGATTCAGTTTTTCATGGTGTATAGGGTTAAAAATGAAATTCTAGGATTCAGTAAAGAAAGCACACTATGAAAAAGCAGATTGTTTTGTAGACCTGTAATCCCAGCAGCTCGGGCAAATGAGGAAGGAGTATAGCAACAACCTCTTGAGGCTGTATACAACCTAGTGAGACCCTGTCTCAAAATGAAATATAAAGACAGAATGCACTGGTTTGTTCTAATTTGATCAGACTACCTCATACCCACCYCACGTTTTTGCATGTATTATATATCAGATTTGTTGCATATAAGCAAGTATRTCTCAATAATACTGACTGTGTACCCAGGGGAAGATTAATATTTTAAGTGATTTTGAATCATGATACCTTAAATTAAAATGTTATTAAAAATTTTAAAAATATAGATGGTAGGTCATCCAAAACCATAGCTTAGTTGATCCAATTTAAGTCATCAAGTTTGGGGCATTTGCAGAAATCAGGACAAATTACAAGGATACATCCTACCTTGACCTGTTCCTTACCTATTCATCTTCTTAGTCTGTCAAGTGAAGTTCTGWGCAGTGTCCATGTACATCTGCAAGGAAAACCTTTTCAGGTAGGTTGCTGTTGCCACATAAGAAACAAAACAGTAATATCATGAATGTAAATCTGAGAGCTACTAATGTGAAGTATGTGCACATTGAACAATTTAATTACCTTCTGAACAMATTTGGAAGGATAAACTGGTTTTGCATCTGAGAATAAAGGGTTTAGATTAAATTATTGGCATGGAATTATATATGAGAATTTAACATGCAAATGACAATATCAACACATGTACACTTTCTTCTGGTTTGTTTCTTCAAATAAGAACAATTACCATGATCACTTATAGTTTTCTATTCATAACTTCCAAGTGTGCTAATACTTTCAGCTATACCTGTGAAAATTTGGATTTCAGAGGACTATGTATTAACTATGCCTTAGTACYCCATTCCACTTAGGGTTCTTAGGATCTTTCTCTTTTCTTAACAGTAGTGTTAGTTGTATATTAGCCCAAGAGATTTGTATGCAATTGAAAWWMARWTATTAGAAATTTTATTTGGTTATTAGAAAYTTATATATAATTTACATAAATACAATGTCAGTTTATTAAATGTAATTAGCAAATATCAGTATGTCATTGCAATTATATAATATCAAAGAATAATACAATTATATATTTATTCAACAAAAATAATTTTTAGAATGTTTAATCTTTGGTCATTTTTGCCTCATAATTCTGTATAAATTCTTCAATATCTCTGTTTATTCATTTATTTACAAATCTATCATTATCTATTTATCTGTCTAGATTTCTCAACTTTGGTACAATTTGTTGGTGTGAATATTGTTTGGGACAAGATATTCTGGATCATATATGATCTTTACCATTAAATGCCAGTAGCAGTTCATCTCCTAGTTGTGAAAATCAAAATATCTCCAGACATTGCACAAAGTTCATTGGTGAGTCAAATCATCCTAGATCAAAACAAATTTATATCAGTCTCAATTTCTTTATATTTTTATTTGTAAAGATGTTTGTTTTTTAATATTACAACATCAAAACTAAGGATTTATCTTATCTGTAKTAGATTTGAAGTATTAAACTCCATATGATAATATTTGTAATCTACTGACATTGCTACTCTGTGTTTCCAATATAGATTTTCTAATAAAACTGAATGGAAAAACCYAACCTCACAGCTGTGCATGAATTCATTCTGAAGGGCATCACCTCACGCCCTGATCTGCAGGCTCCACTGTTTGGGCTGTTCCTCATCATCTACATGAGCACACTGGTGGGCAACTTGGGCATGATCATCCTCACCAAGGTGGAYTACAGCCTGCAAACACCCATGTACTTTTTCCTGAGGCACCTGTCTATTACAGATCTTGGTTATTCTACAGTTGTGGGCCCCAAAATGTTAGTAAATTTTGTTGTGGATCAAAATACAATTTCCTATCACTTTTGTGCTACACAATTAGCTTTCTTTCTTGTGTTTATTATTACTGAACTTTTTATTCTGTCTGCCATGTCCTATGATCGCTATGTGGCCATCTGTAAACCTCTCTTCTACACTGTCATCATGTCACAGAGGGTATGTCRTATATTAGTGGCAATTCCATATCTCTATTGCACATTTGTGTCTCTTCTAGTTACCATAAAGATTTTTACATTATCCTTCTGTGGCTACAATGTCATCAGTCATTTCTACTGTGACAGTCTCCCTTTAATAGCTTTGCTCTGCTCAAACACAGATGAAATAGAAGTGGTAATTCTGATCTTAGCAGCTTTTAATTTGATTTCCTCTCTTCTGGTCATCATTGTGTCCTATGTGCTCATCCTCAAAGCCATTCTCAAGATGAAATCTGCTGAGGGCCAGCGCAAGGCTTTCTCCACCTGTGGATCCCACCTGACATCAGTCACAGTGTTCTATGGGACTTTGATATTCATGTATGTGCAGCCCAAGTCCAATCACTCTTTTGATACTGATAAAGTGGCTTCCATATTTTACACTATGGTCATCCCTATGTTGAATCCTTTGATCTACAGCCTGAGGAACARAGATGTAAAGTGTGCCCTAAAGAGGACCTGGAATAAGATACGCAACGTATTTTCTTGAATGTTATGTAGTCTATGAACCATAAATCAGGTTTGGTTGTGAACCTGTTCTGTTTCCCTCTAAAACACTAAGCAGAACTGGGCTTGACATATCTTCAAAGATTGGCCTACCCATTGCTGAATACTATAAATATTTAATTGAACAAAATGCTGAATGAWTTTGCCTTCCTTGAAGGGGAGAGATGAATTATAGTATAAAAATTAAGGAAATTCTGAATAAAAGGGCTTAGGGTCTACAGACTTTAAGGTGTATAAAGTAGGAGAATGAGAATRAGTAATATGCATAGAAAAGGAGTTGTTGTGGCTCTGTAATCTTAACTATGAATCSTATTTTCCATTCACATGCTTGTTTTTGTATGTGTTGTTCTTTGATTTTAAAGTAATTGCTCTGCTTTAGGCATATTTCTTTGGCTTTTGCATCACAATGATTTGAAGGAATCAGTCATAAGAAAATGCCTTAGTACCCCATTCCACATAGGGTTCTTTGTATCTTTCTCTTAACAGTAGTGTTAGTTGTATATTAGCCCAAGACATCCTTTTAACATATTTGGCTATTTAGTCCTACAGATTCAGTGCTGTATATAATCTTATCTGTATATTGGAGTGACTGCACTGATTTAAGCAGAACTTTTAAGTTCTGTCCTTGAAAATTCTGGGTTTTACTTCATCTTGATTCATTCATGCTTGTGTCTAATGGATATTTATTCTACTCAACTTAATGTAAGCATACTTACTTAATGTAAGAATAATTCTGTTTGAAAATATCAT